AAAATCTATCTTCATATCAAATTTCACGCGTCCGGATCCAATGGGTCAGTTATGTTTGCTCCTCCTTTCAGTATCTGAACCAGTTGATCTAGTTCCATGAAACTTGCAACAGCATAATGCCACCGGATGCCACCACAACCTCACGCCTTTTAATTTCTTGCATTTAATAAAAAGAACATGGCAGACATGCAAACTTGTGAGGTGAGAGTGGCATACGATTCTCAGATTACGTGTATGAACAGATGTTCAAAAACATGTTCACATTCACAACCAAACACTCTTGAACATGTCACGAAACATTCCGTGTCATCAAGTGTCAAGTCGTCTTGCGGCACAGATACGCGGCATTCTTCGGACTCCGCCGAGGTGGAAAATGTCTGCACATTTAATTTGCCTTTTTACATGACAGGAAGCACGAAGCTTAACATTTCCATGTGTCGGTTTAGCTGCTGAATTTCTTATGCAAATTCGAGTTCAGTATTAGTGCGTTAGTTTGTGCCCAACTCAACAGCGGTCATCTTTGAGAAGACCGTTCAATTAGCTTTTAAACAAGCCCCATAAAAGCTTTGTAGCTTGCATGGAACAAAAGCTATGATAATTCTAATGGAAGTAGCTTACTAAAAAAGTAATTATCATTATTTTTGAACCCCTGCACCACAAGAAGTGCACGACACAGAGCGCTGAAATTGTACAAGAATACTGTTTTATACGCAGTCTACAAGCTCGCCGACTTTCATTAAAAGTTGAGATGGTCGGATTAAAAATTGCACTTTTCTGTCATTACTGGCATGAAACGACTCTTACTCTAGCATGGAATGTTCTTTACTTAGCACTGCCTTGAAGATGGAGACAGCAAGCACCCCTAAAACATCAGTAATCTTCTACCAGATTACATCACACAAAGAAAATGACACTCATTGTGGCATCTAGCAATAGGTCCATGCAGTCTGCACAGAAATGTAACATTAGCTTCTTCGTACAACACGCTATTCAGGGCACAAAAGGAGTTAGAGGGTGGACAGACAGATAGCCAGAAATGAGAACATAGCTATCTCATAATGTCTCACTAACTTTACCCTCTCATCCAGGTTACATCATCTTCTAGCGTAATTTCCATTTTACATGGGTTGATGAGGGTACACCCTATCTAATACGACCAGTTCCCCAGCAGATGCCCAAAATTATGACAAAAATTCTTTCATATTACTGATAAACATTTGAAAAATTTATATTTCAAAACTTTGAAGTATATTTTACAACACTTCTGCATTCATCAGCAATGCCAACATTTCACAAGCATAATAATCTCTTCCTGTTACATTGGTGCAAATATTATACTACATCAAACATCTTTAACCTTCCACAAATCCACGAATCTTCATCCGTATTCTATTGGTGTGACAACTGTAGTACCTGAAACAACTTTGTCTGTAAAGATACTGGGAATGACCCGTTCTTCAAGTGCCTTGAGCACTGCAGGTCCCAACCTTTTGTTGGCTTGATCTATAGACATTCGGTAGGACTCTTTGGACGAGGGATTTGCCCGTCGCAGGGCCTCTACCAGTACACAGGACAGCACAACACAGAAAGACGCGGACAAACATCCATGGCTTGAGCGGAATTCGATTCAAGGATCCCAGTGACCAAGCGGCAGAAGTGAATGCTACTTCAAATGTCTGTTCCTCAATTCATATGAGCAAAACCATTTCACATGAAGTACCTACTGTTCAAGGGTGTATAAATTTGCATGTAGGACACCTGCCACAATTAAATTTGACAGAACTATAATGGGCAGATGAAACACATCAGAACAGAAACACATTTAGGGTACCAATATCTGTGTGCTTGTAAGGGACTCTGAGAAACACCAAGCTGTAACACCTGTCAAACACATGTCATATAAAATGTGTCAGACAAATTTATTGCGATGCTTATATTTATGGAACTTCAGATAATGATAAGGTAACTCCGATAACTTAGACTAGTTTCTTCTTTCAGCCACAAATTTCAAACTAACTGCTTTTGTAGTGAACCTGTACTTTCACACACACAAACCAGCATCCGTATCATGGAGGCTACTTCAATCACTCTAAATTGCAATGTACTATTGCTAAGCCAACTCAATTAATAGTCTGACATCCTTGAAACTGCAAAGTTGTAACATAGGCCGCAATCTCACATCACTGCTCAGAGAAATACACAAACACACAGTTTAGTTATTTCAATATTAGGATAACCTGTTGATAGTTTACAATGAATATTCAGTAAAACACAGTAAAAAAATACATGGGTCAGTAAAAATATGTACAATTTAATATTGATCATGTACATCCGTTCATGAATTGTATATAAGAAAACGGAATCCACATGGTATGTCATATCTAGCATCAACCTCCACACCCTCAAGCTTCTTATGAAACTTGAATACTAAGGTATTGTACCATAATATAATCATGCCTTACCGTTAAAAAGAAGACGGTTATCTTCAGAATCACTACATATACGTTTGTTAGACACCGCTTATGAAAAACACACTTTATTGAATAGCAGAACTTATTATACATAGACAGGAAACTCTCAATCACTTTAAGCAACATACTCTATATCAATGGACTGTCGCCAGATGGCAGTAAAAGGACGGTGTCACCAACTTTACAAAACTAATACGCCACCCAACAATTTACTAAACCGAACCGGAGAATGTATAGAGCAAACATTTGGGACTTTGGACTATTGTTCTGTGTTCTCTATTAGTTTTAAACTTTAGATATCACCATATGGCCTGGGAGAGGGTCCGGTGGAGGGCTTACGTTAATTCGGTGATGAACCTACGTGTTCCGTAAGCCATCTAGTTAGATATCACCATATGAAAAGACTATGAAGAGTGAAAACAATGTCAAAGCAGTATTCGAGGTTTTCACGACGGTAAGCCTGAAGATGGCTGTCTTCTGGGTTGCGCCGTGTAGTATGGGCACTTCTGAAACGTCGGTAAACTTCTACCAGACTACACGGCGCAATAACCCAGAAACCAGCCACTTTCAATGTCTAAGCAGCTGACACTGTTCCGGGAAATCTTTTTTCAATGTGTGGCATTTTCGAAGGTTCACAAAATTCATAATAGGCATACTGCCACGCACTTCTGCTTTAATGTTCCAGCTTCTTGCTCAAGCACTATCAGGCCATCATAAGTCACTGTATTTTTGTATCGATCCTAATTTGGTGTTTATGCTAGTCATGTTCATACTCTAATTTTGGTCATCCTGACTAGCGCAATATGTATGTCGTCAGGAGATGACACCAGAATTCATATTTCCGTTTCCGGCCACGTTAGGATAAGAGGTTGGGAAGGAAAATTCTGAAATTAGGATATTTCCCATGTGTTAACTTGACATTGGTGTCTTTTAATACCAAAGGACAGTTAAATGTACATCTGACCTTTCGCCAATATGGATTACTGGCCAGTATGGATCATATTAACAGTGCTATTAATCTATGTGTATGTGTCGGGTGGAGTGGAATTAACTTTCGAATTGCCCGATAATGCTAAAGAATGCTTCTATCAAGAAATCCAAGAGAACGTATCAGTAACGTTAGAATTTCAGGTAAGAATTCAAGATCATAAAATATGTAATGTGATCAAGAATTTTGAAAGCAATTTACAGGTTATAAATGATTTTCAATGTTCGCTATTCTGTTTCGCAGGTTGTTACAGGCGGCCAGTACGATGTAGATGTTTCTTTGGAGGCACCAAACAAGGAAATTATTTACAGAAATACCAAAGCCCAGTTTGATAGCCACAATTTCGTTTCAAACATGCCTGGCATATATGTAGTATGCTTCAGCAATGAATTCTCAACTTTCTCACACAAACTTGTTTACATGGATTTCCAAGTGGGTGATGAACAACCATTGCCTGGGTTAGAACAACATGTCACTGTCCTGACTCAGGTGAGAAGCTGCTTTCTTCTTCAAGATTTTCATGGAACATAGCAAACGGTTTGCAATGAGCAGAACTTTTATTTATAGTTTATGTAATGACACTTTTACAGCAGAGGTGTGTTGAGACTGTTGTTCATACGTAGGTACAAATGCACATATTTTGAACACAGTTCTCTGCACTTCTAGAGTATGTTTCCTATATGACTATATCAAGTAAAGGCTTAGATAAGCAACCAAATTTTAGTTGATTTTGTTGAATACTAAGATGTGATTGTAACCCATTAATTTGTATAGTTCTTATGTTTATAATTATTTTAAAATTTATTTCAGTTGTAACTTAAAACTGCCCTTTTATTATTTCACATAATATTTTTGGTTTAATGTCCACAGGTTTTGACTATTACACATGTAAAGACAAGAGAAATATTATAGTGGGTTTTAATTATGAATGGGGCTTCCCCTTAGCCTTTTGTCCATGGACATATAATACAAATTCTTCGTGCAAATTCACAAGGGTCTTATGACATCTCTGGATGACAGCCTAAACTTGAAAACGAATGTTACATTTTATATCATTCTGAATTATTAGGAAGTGTTGCATATATCTGTTCTAGATGGAGTCCTCAGCTCAAGAGATACACAAGAGTTTGAATAGTATAATCGACTACCAGACGCATCACCGGCTGCGTGAGGCACAAGGGCGTAAACGTGCTGAAGATCTTAATGAACGTGTCATGTGGTGGTCAATACTAGAAACATTAGCAGTTCTAATTATTACTGTTTCACAAGTTCTTGTGTTAAAAAACTTCTTCGCAGAAAAGAAACCATCCCAGATGAACTCAAAATAGAGTATATATATACTGTATTTATAAATTCTTGCTGAAATTTAAAGTGTGCTTTTGATTGATTGGTGTATTTTGGATATGTGAACGTTGTGTGAGAAGTTTAAAATTCAGAATGCAGATGGGCTCCAGAACTTGGATTTGGTCTTTGTCTGGAGGCATCCATGTGGTTCGCGTCTTCTGTTGTGTGTATTGATTGATTGATTGTTGATTCAGTAACATTTGAAGTTAGCTTTGTACTTGAAATTGGTTTACTTTTCGTATGTCTATACTTTTTTGAATCCTAAGTTCTACAGTTGTGAGGAACATCACCGACACAAGTATCTTACATGATGCTTGATTTCTTATAACAGGAGTTCAAGCAAATGTAGAACTTGGTCTTGCACGCTTCTGATTGTACTTTTGGGAGAATTAGGTCCCCATTTGTTAATAACAATACTGTGTGCAACAATTTAAACATTTGTAATTTGTCTCTTATTTATGTTTAAAAGTGCAAATGTTGGACTTAAGTTCTGGATTCTTGTAAGTGTGGCTCATTTCTCTATTCTATAAATGATGTGCATCATTAGATATGTAGAATCAATTACACTAGCACATGAATATTATCTTCAGTATTGCACATTTTTAAGGTACAGTTTTAAAAGAGACACAATATTTCATTGTGGTATTGTCCTTCAAAAGTAGAAGGGCAGGTAATTTATTTGTTCATCTGGTTCCATGGATTAGATAGAAAGTACTATCAAAAAATTCTGCCATTCAATTTTACACAAGTGGAGGGGAAGTAAAGCCGGTGGTCCCATGTCGTAGATTTACGGCACGTAAAAGAACCTTACGAGCATGAATGTAATGTTTCGTATGCAAAATTCAGTGGCCATTTCTCACCCAAATCTCCTGATTTACTAGTAGATGGCTCTAGCAGTCAAATCTGGATTGAGTAGAAATTGTGCAGTCAGTGGACTGGTCACTCACTACTCACAAATGCACACTTCAGAAGACCAAGAATCCTCCTAATTGGGGAGGTCTTTGCCCAAAAATTGGCCAAAGCACCATAGATGATGATTGTAGGATTTGAGGTTCTTATGGTGGCAAGTATGAAGAGGCTGTCTTCTGGGTTATAATGCCTTTCTTGCCAAGGTGGTGCTTGCTGCCTCCATCAACAGGGTTATCATTGCCCTGATGATAGAGACAGCAAGTACCTGTAAAATGTTGGTAAACTTCTACCAGACTACATGGCATTATAACCTAAAAGCAGCCATCTTCAGGATTTTTTATTTAACATCTGGATCCTTACCACCCAAGGCTCTCCCCCATGGTGCTTGCCCCAGTGGGGCCTAGGTCCCTGTATTTCCTGTTCCTGAAGCTCCTTCACTCCCCCCTGATATTCTATCCAATGCCTAGCCTATCAGGATTTTGGAAATCCATTTTCTGCTCATGCAGGTCTTTGCCCCCCTTGAGGCTGCCTTACTTAGGTACACTGCCCAATAGATTACATTCAACATTCTCACCATTGAGGGAAACTCAAATCTCAGATCATTTGTGCCTAATCGTGGACATTTTTGTTCATTACGTCTGTCAGTGTGTGCCAACTGCTGAGCAGGTTTGTGGCACATTGCAAGATCTCCTTATCCTGCATACCTCGAAAAGGTTTTGGAACACACAGCTGTACCTATTTCAGAAATGCAGCATCACTAAATTGATTTACCATGTCTGGTGACACTTTACTTGCCTTGAAACTTGCAGCTGCTACGTTCAAAGAAATTGCAACAAAATTTTATGAAAAAAAAATTGGTTGTTCTCCGTGCATGTGGTGATATAAGCAAACATTTCTTAACTCTGAAATGAACACACAAGAAATCACCTACAGCATGGAGATGAGTTCAATTAAAATGACATTTGAACCACAGCAGTGTGCCACACTTTGTCCACCGCCAGTATTTGCTTTCAAGTGAGGCTGGCATTAAATTTATTTTCTTTCGTGTTTGGTGTATTTGTTTTTATGAATGTATTAAAATGCCATGTGATGTGCAAAATACTGTAGTTAGGATCTTCAAGGTAAGAATTGTGGAGTATGTTTCTGAATTTAACAACTTTTGCAGTATTATGACCCTTGCTTACTATAATCTCGTGTAAGACTTGAGGTTCTCACAGCGGTGAGTATGAAGATTTCCGTCTTCTGGGTTGTTGCGCTGTGTAGTCTGGTCGATGTTAACCAACGTTTCAGAGGTCATACTGCCTCCGTCATCAGAGTATGAAGATTTCCGTCTTCTGGGTTGTTGCGCTGTGTAGTCTGGTCGATGTTAACCAACGTTTCAGAGGTCATACTGCCTCCGTCATCAGAGTATGAAGATTTCCGTCTTCTGGGTTGTTGCGCTGTGTAGTCTGGTCGAT